TGGTCACAAGCCCTGCGGTGAGCCCGCCCCGCGGCTGGCTCCGAGGCCTCTTTGTTCTGGGGATCCGTGGGGGCGGTGGCTTAGCCCTCACAAGTATTCAAAGCCTCCCTGACCCTGATCGTGGAGAAAACCTGGCCACCCCAGCCAGAGTCAGGCCTTGCAGCCAAGGAGGGCCGCAGAGGGAGCTCCCTGCCGGTGTGCGTGTGTATGTCTGGGGGTACCAGCAGCCCCGACCACACGGACCCGGAAGTCTGTTTTCAAATGGGGGAAATCGAGGCTCAGAGAATACAGAGAGCCTGCTAGAGGCTGGCCAACCTGGGTACTGGAAAGTCTCAGATCCACAGGGTGCAAACGATTGGTCTGTGGAAATCAAGGAGATTAGGAAGGCTGCTTCTGTTTGTTTGGAGAAGCAGAGTTGCTTGTGGCTTGTTTTTATTTGGGGGAAGCTCTGCAGGAGAAGGGGGCTAGGTAATGGTGAGGGACATGACCATGGGATCTGACACTTCCCAGCTCAAATTCTCTCTCCCCTTTTCTGGCTGTGTGACCCTGGACACCCCCTGGCCTCTCTGGGCCTTGGGCATAAAGGTACCCGTTTGTAAGCTTGTTGTGAGAGAATATAGCCCACTCTGTACCTAGGGCTAGGCTCATGGGCAGGACTCAACCTTGGGAGAGCTGACTGTGTGGGCGATGTTGCCAAGAGCACACCTGGACCCTCAGGCTGTGATGTGTGTGGGCTTCAGCACATCTAGGCCAAGTCTGCATCTCCGGCTCCGGGCTGATTCCTTGCTCTGTAAAATGTCAGGAGGTAGTGTTGGGCCCCTGAGCAGGTGTCTCCCTGTGGCACTGGCGGCTGTTCTGGGCCAGCTGGCCTGTGGCGGGCTGTCCTGCCTCTGCCCCTATCTCGGCCTCTGCCTCTGCAGCAGCACCCCGTTTCCTAGTTGTAGCCATGAAAAAAACATGGGTCCCCACCTTACCTGGCGTTGCCTGCATCGGGTGGGGAGGAAACAGTGCCTACTGTCTGCGGGGGGTTCCTCAGCCTTGCGGGCAGAAGGGCTATGAGCAGGCCCTCATCTTCCCCGCCGGAGCATCCAGGCTTCCGCACTGAGCCAGGCAGCCCGTGCCTCGTTCCTCACCCAGCCCCTGCTCAGTGCTGGACCCAGAAGTCCTGAGGCCTAAGCTGGGGCCACGGCGGTGACTGTGACAGATAGAGGCCCGCTCAGAGATGGTGCATAATTTTCCCAGGGTCACACTGCCACTTGGAGTCAGTGTCTTCTCGATGAGGCCTTTCAGAGGTGCTGCAGATGGCATAATAGCTGTCCTGGTTCTCCAAGGACATCCTAGATCCCAGGGGACAGGCAGCCCTCGGAAAGGATAGCTGTGAGACCTGAGCTTCAGGCCTGGAAAGACTGTAGACTGAGCTCTGGTGCAGATTGAATGAATGTGCTCTGAACCTTGCCTTCAAAGTCATAAAATGGGAATAATTACACCTGACCCAGAGGGCTCCTCTGGAGTTGTGGAGAGGCCAACAGTTAAAGCACTCAGCACATAGTAGGTGCTCAGGCAGCTGAAATGACTGCTGCTGTCACTTGTAAGAACACAGGAAGTCACCCAGGCTTGGCCAGGTGGGACAGAGTGGGCCACCTGCAAACAGCTGGGCTACCGGAGAAAGCAGCGGCCCCTCCTGGGCTGGGAGAGCAGCCACAGAGCAGCAGCAGCAGGGGACAGTGCCCACTCTCAGAGAGTCAGGCTGCTTGGCCTCGTCGAGCTGCCTGGGCCTGCCTGGCACCTCCACCAGCCTGTTTCTTCTGGCCAAGAAGCCACTCACCACAATTGCCCCAGTGCTGGTGCCATTCCTAGGTGAATTCCTAGGTGTTTGCTGGAGGAGTCACCCTCCCCACATCCTGCCAAGGCTTGGTTTGCTGTGTCCAGCCAGGTTCTTCCACTTTTTGGACTTTCTTCAGACAACCTGGGGGTTCCTGGAAACATGCTCTTGATGTGCTGGCTCTGGAAGGGGAGGTGGCTCTGTTCAGAGCAGACAGTCCTATGGCACCCTGCCCCTGGGTCCAGGACTCACGCTTCTCAGCAGAGTCCTGCCCGCCTGGGGTGGAGAGAGCGCCTCTACCTGCAAGTGGCCACAGCATGCTGTTAGCCAGCATGCACCAAGCTAGCCACGTGGCAGCCATGAGCCTGGGCACTTGCTGGCCCCTGAGTGCCCAGGTGGAGTCAGGGCTGGCCAGTTGAGAAGTCACCTCAAGTCCTCTCATATGTCTAGTGACACAAGCAAATGTCCTAGCTGTGGGAGCTGGCCTTGAGCACCCAGGCAGGGCTAACACTCTTGGATGGGCTTTGCTGTCCCTAGGCTGACCTGGTGTGATTGCTGGCTTTGCACCTGTGAGGGGCCGGCCCAGGAGATGCTCACCTCTGTCCACAGTGGAGCAGAGGTTCTGAGTTGGGAGCAGAGAGAAACTGACACAAAGGATCTTGATGTCTAGGGAACCTTGTGGCATATCAGTAGCACGTCCCCTGAGGCCCTGTTACTGACATCTGGGGCTTCCCTTGCTGTCTCCCTTGGCTCCCTCAGTCTGCACATAATGAAGAGGACTATCTGATTGTGTCCCACAGTGCCTGGGGACCTGGGACAGACTTTCCAGGAGAAAGACTGCCTTGTCCTCTCCACTAGCATTCAGTAAGTGTACCTCTTGGTTCCATTCTTGGTGACAGGCTGGATTTTAGTCACAGTCAGCTGACAGCCTCACGGAATGAAGTTACATCATCTCTCTGAGCTAGGGGAGGTTGGAGTAGCCTGCTCCCTGTCCCTCCAAGCCCGGGACCTGACGCTTTCCTGTCACCTCCTCTCGGGAAGTGGACATGAGTGTCCCATGTGAGAGGGGGAAGCCAGGCCATTCCTCTGCCACTAGACCTTCCCAACCTGTGGGGGTGAAAGGGGACCATGTTTGTCAAGGTTCTGGCCCCAGGTGGCTTCTCCACAAACGGTCATTCCTTTCCTACGCTTTCCCCTCTAGACTTCCTTCCATTCTCTTCTGCCCTCTGGTCCCCGATCTTGGCTTTTACTTGGCCTGAAATGACAAAGCAATACGTGAGTTTATTTTTTCAGGTGCTTTATCAGTCTTTGGGGTGGTGATAGTTATTTTCAGGAGGTAAGAATAATAACTATAACTTACAAATTTCTCATCCTTTTTTCTAGAAATGTTGTTTTCCTAAAGCAACCACAGCAATAACAACAAACCCACTCCACCCATACTAGAGTCCATTCCATCTGAAGCAGCACACTCCATTGGGGGTGGGGTGGAGGGTGGGTGGGTGCTGGCAGTGACGCCAGGAGGCCTTTTTGCTTGTCTTCCAGTGAGTCGGCCCAGCATGCTCCTGGCACCTGCAGTGCAGTGCACACCACAGACCGCCCTCCATCACCAGAGGGACATCGGGCTCCAGTGCCAGCAGTGATGAACGCTGGTCTAAGATAGCATCCTTGGGAACGTGAGCAGCTCTCATTGTAGGAGAGACTGCTGCAAAGCCATAGACACCAAGCTGGCCTGTTTCTAGGACAGTCAGTTAGGGGGAAGCCTGCACCTTCAGAGTCTAGGAAATGGATCGATGATGTTGAGCTCCTTCTTAATAATACTTTGCAAATTCCAAAGAAATATTTTTCTCAGTTTTTAGTGCTGTTCGCAGAGTGACAGCTACAGAGGTTAACACTACTTTACATTTAATTTTTTTCAGAAAAATCTGCGGAAGATTTTGAACCAGGTAGAAGATGGCTGGATATTCTTTGCTGGAACCCTGGGACCCAGAGATTAACTCATCCTACATGAGCATTTGCTTCTGATGTGGTTCACATCTCTGCAAAGATGTTAATTTACAGAAAATTGGTAGCAATGCAGATCTTCGTTTCCATGGCTCTGTAAATGATTCTGGTCCAAGGCTACTCAAATGAGCTTGTCAGGTAGAAAATATAAAGCTCTGTAAGACAAATTCTCATTTGACCTAGTTGTAACTTCTTCCTGGTCCCTTGTTTATTAAAGAAGTAGGTAAAATATTTGCCTTGCATTCATTTTCCATCTGCATAGGGGTCATGATTTTATCCTTTCCTGAAAATCATCCTCTGATAGCCTTCTGTGTTAATATTTTCTCTGCCACTTGCTTATGTCTAGATGGTCAACAAAGTGGTAAATCGGGCTCTCATCTGTGGTACTTGCTAATGTCTCTGGCTGATGATAAGGGAAGTGTTCCAAGATGTGTTAAATTTAATCAAAGTGCTGAGGGTGGGGGAGAAAAAAGAGAAGTTTACCAGCTAACAGCAGTGGGCCAAACCAACCAAAAATGATTTCATGTTCCTGAAAGTGCGTTGAAATCTGGACTTGAACCCTAGTTGCATCCTTGAGTCCTAATTCACTGGTGCCTGACTACCAGGCACCATTGTATCAGCTTACAGCCCCAGTCAACCCACAAAAAACAAGGGCTTTCTTTATGGACTCTTCTCCTATCCTGGCCTCTCCCTGCTTTGTGTTATCCATAGCTGTGGCACTCTTACCCATGGCCATCATAGGTTCAGCGTGAACAGTGTATTCCTTTCTGTCCTGGCTTCTTTTGAATGTCTTTCCCCCATGTGCTCCTGCCATGTGATGCCTTCAGCCATATCAAGGCATTGTGGCCCTTGTCAAGTGTGACTGCCTAGACTTGGGCCTATTTTGCCTCCAAAACTGTGAGCTGAATAAACCATTTATCTTTGTAAAGCACCTACCACTGGTATTTTGTCATTGCCACCCCAAATGGACCTAGATAGGTGGGGATGGAGTGAGGCTGCTGGATAAGTTGTCTTTAGAAGACCGTCGTGTTTTGGAGTTTTGCAAGCTCAGACTATTTTCAAAGACTCAGGGTTTTCTCACACCAGCGTCACACCATCTTAACATTCTTTCTGAAGTTTCAAGTTCACAAACTCAAGACATCTTTTAGTCTCTGGGTCCAATGTTCAATTGCTATGGAGTCCAGAAGCACAAATTGGTTCTTTCCATCCTTTTCAAATGTATTTCCCTATCTGGGGAAAGCATCAAGTCTGTGGGAAGGAGCAGCTCATGCTTCAAACAGAGGGTAGAAATCACGCACGTCTTGAAGCATCCAGAAGGGTATCTGGGGCTGAGGTGGTGGAGGGGCACAGACTAGAGCCTCCCAGCCTCTGCCCACTGGCTGGGAAAGTAGGCAGAATCTCACTCCATTACCTCTCTCTGCAAGTTAAATGCACCTAGGTTACAACTGCACCACAGAAGGTAAATAATGTTCCGCTTACAAAGAATGACAAGTCACCTGCAAGGAGAACATTTGAGGGTGTCACAGAATTATTTCATATTTGTGTGTGTGTAAGGAGGAAAGTGCGTGAGCGTGTGTGTGTGTGTGTGTGTGTGTGTGTGCTCTGCCTCTTTACGAACTCTCTGTAATCCAAAAAGCCCTGCTGCTCCCCGTTAGGATGCTTACGCACACGTGGTATTGCCAGGTAACATGCATACAGGGCACCCACTTACCTTTCCATTCCAGATTAACATGAATATTTCTCAGCAAAAGTGTGCCTCATGCAATATTCCTACTAACATTATTTGTTTTTTGTCTAAATTAGAATTTAACTGGACACCTACATTTTCCTTGGCCCAATCTGGGAGCTTTCTGTGCACGCAGATACACACAACTTCCCAATTCGCACTCATGTGCATACAGTTATCTCTTGGTGTGTGCAGGGGGTTAGTGCTAAGATCCCTGCGATACCAAAACTCAGAGGTGTTCTTGTCTTTTGTAGCCGGTGGAGTGGTATTTACATATAACCCACCACCCTCCCGTCTACTTTAAGTCTCTGGATTACACCTAGTATCTAAAACAATGTTACTACTGTGCTGAGAGTGGTTATACTGTGTTGCTTTGAGAATAATGACAAGAAAACCTCTATACACATTCAACTCAAATCCAACCACTGGAGGCCTACATTTTTTTTTTTTTCAAATATTTCTGGTCTGCTATTGGCTGGCCCCACAGATGTGGCACCCACAGACACACGGAGGCAGCTGTACACAGAAACACAGGAGTACGAAGACAAGTGATGTCAAGGGCACTTGAGTTTGTGCTGCACACACAACCTTGCACACACACACAAACACACACTGGGCGTTTCTCCCTCTGTGGCTGAGCATGGTTGGGTCTCCAATGTGCTCTCATCATTGTTTCCAGCTCCCAGGTCTCAGGTTGCTTCTCGACCTGGCGGTCATTACTCCTTCCCGACGTTCCCATGGATTTAACAGCTCTGCGCCTGGTTTCAGAGCAAGGGCCTGGCTTGGTGGGCAGACCTGCCCTCCCCTGGCTGTGGTCTCAGGCTCCTTTCCCTAATGGAGTCTCTGTTACTGTGGGCGGCTGGCTGGGGGGCTTTCTGGGGAGCAGACCTCTTCCCTTGGGCTCCCCAGCTGCTCATAGCCTGGTTTACAGCCGCGGGGCAGTGGCTAGAAGGCCTGCAGTCTGGATGTTCTGAGATTTTTATTGGCGTCTCCATCAGGACAAGGGCCATGCGGGGTCCTCCCGGCCTTCCGGCGTTGCTTTATTGGAGCTGGCCTTCCAGGGCATGGGGAGCAGCCATTTCCAGGGAATCTGGTTTCTCTGTGGGGCTCGCACACCATTTCCTTTGTGTTTGGCTTGGCAGCCCCTCGGCCTGGCCTGTTTTGAACCTCACCTCGAGTTAGGGCTTTTGAGGCCTGTTGGTGGATGAGGTGGTTCAGGGTAGGCGTTTCCCACAGCCACGGGGACACAAATGGTGCTTTGTTTCAGGCAGGCGGCAGGTGTAGTGGAAAGAGTTCAGGCCCCTCCAGGGCCCAGGGGAAATGCTCTGCAGTTGGAAGACAGTTAAAAGGCAAATAAAAATCACTCCACTTCGTCTGCACCTTAGGAACCCAAGCTGGCCCATGAGAAGACTGAATGGCTGGGTCTCAAATACCACCACTTCCTTTGGGATCAGGAATAGGAAAGAGGCGGATGGGACTAATGTTCTGCAAAGGGATTTAAATTTAAAACCCCATTGCAGGGTACATTCACAGCCAGCTCTGGGCAACAGATGGCCACTGTGTCTGAGGCCTGGGAAGCAGGGAAAGGCATGCTGGGGATGGGAGGATCTCCTGTCCACAGGACGGCAAATGCATCTCATCTTCTGTCGCTTTGGTCCCCAAACCAAATGAATAACCAGGATATTTTATTTTATTTTTATTTTTAGGAGCCAGGGATCGAACTCAGGACCTTGGGCTTGTGAGGCAGGTGCTGGAACCACTGAGCTAAATCCCTGGCCCTAGGCTATTTTACATAATGATTCAAGGTGTGCTTTGAGCTGAATTGTGATCCCCATGTTCACATCTTCACATCCTGACTCTCAGAACTCAGAATGTGACTGTAATTGGAGGTGAGCATAATTAAGTTAACACAAAGTCATTAGAGTGGGCTGTGACCTTTGGGAGAGAAGCCTTGGGCATCAATGTGCATAGAGAATGCTGTTTGTGCGAGCCAAGGAGAGAGGCAGCATAGAAATGCTGCCGTCCACACTTTGATCTCAGGGTCAGCTTTGAAGGATGAGTGCGAAAACATATCCGTGCTTTAAGCCACCCTGCCCACCACCTTTCGTTAGGGCAGCTCCTGCAAGCGTGCATAGCAAGCAAGAAGCAGGATGGTTTGAGACAGAGCTGGTTCTTCTGCTTGATGGATCTGAGAGTGGCCGCATGGCAGGGTGGCAATGGAGACACAGGATATCCGGGCCCGGGTCATTCACTGGACCCTGAAGGACCCAGCATGGCCTTGCAGCTCGCCATGGCTTTTGTCTTGTGTCCACTCACAGCTGATCCCCTTGAAGCCGACCATAAGAGTGTCTGGGAGTGGTTGATCAGGGAATTGGTGCTAGGGAGTGAGAGGTGAGTTCATGAGTGGGTTGTTGTGGCAGCCTCAGGGGCTCACCCTACTGGGGCCCCCTGAGCGGCTCCTTGGAGGATCCTTCAGGAATGGCCCACCCAGAGGGAGGAAGCTAGAGCACCCTCCCAGACATGCTGCACCCCTGTGCATTGGTCCAGGGTCACTGTGACAGAGGGCAGGGGGTCATCAGGCACGCAGGAGGTGATCTGAAGGGGACAGGAATGTCTTCTTTGGGTTCAGCTGAGGGTGGGGTGGACGCCAATGGCCTTCCACCTCTGTGGAACTGTTTCAAACTCCCTCTGCCCTCGCTGACCCCAGACCTGGCCAGAACAAAACCCTAGGTGTCCAGCCTGCTGGCTCCTGGCTCTACACTACAGACCTGCTGCTCCTCCCTCCCACACCAACCTTTTTGCTTGAATATTTCCCCACCCCAAGAGAGCCTTCAGCAGACACCTCCTGAGCGTCCTAGAATTCATTTCTGACACCATCTACCTGGAGACAGTGTCAAAGCTTGCAGGGTAAGGTCACAGTCCTACAAGACTATTCCCTCTTTCGACACCAGTCCTAAGCCCCAGGTATTTTTCAATTTTCTGAACCCAGCTATAAACTGGGGTCCCCATTAAGACAGGATAATAGAATACTCCTAGGGAGAGAGACCCTCCCAGTACGGTGATACCATTATCAATGCTCACAGAACCAATCAGAAAAGTGGTATTTTCAGTCCTTTATTTGAATCTGATGCTGTAGGTGGGACAGATCAGAAGACACTCTTTTCAGTCTTCTGTTTGCACCTGGGCACAACCAATCAAAAGACACTGTTCCTGCTCCTCCCTTTATATATGGCAGGAAGCCAAGTGAGCTGGGCGGTAGGATAGTTTACACATGGCATAACGCAAGAGAGTGTTTAGGACAAGTTTCCCGATGCCTTATTTGCATGAGCAAGATAACCTAGGAATTTTGGATGCAGAAGACCTCTTTCTCTTCTCCCTGGAACCACTGTGAGCCTTTTCACCCACCTGCTCTCTGCAGAGTGTACTTCTTTTCCACCTCCAGAAAGTATAGACCTTTGCTGCCTTTTCTGTGTGTCCTGTCCAATTCTTCGTGCAGGACACCAAGAGCCTGGAAAGGAGCCCCACGGGACCCACCACTCCCAAACACTGTGTCCTCTTCCACCGGTTCGATTAATTTGCTAGAGTGGCTCACAGAACTGCAGGGAACACATGCTTACGTTTCATGAAGGGTGTCACACAGGGGGCAGGGGCGTGGCCAGGCAGGAGATATGCACAGGCGAGGTGGGGGAGAAGGGTGACCTCCATGTGGTCAGCAGTCCAGAGCTCTTCTGAAACTGTCCTTTTGGGTTTTTATGGAGCCCTCATTATATATGCAGGACTGAGTACATCTTTGGCCACTGCTGTACAGCTCGGCCTTTGGCCCTCTCCTCTCCACTGACAGTGGGGCTGGAAATCCCAAGCCTTTAATGCTGCCTTGGCCCCTTGGTGACCCAGGGCCATCCCAAAAGCACATTAGGGGCCCCAGGCACCGGTTGTCTCATTAACATACAGAAAACTGTCCTGCCACTCAGTAACCCAAGGGCAGGAGGAGCTGCACGCCGGGCCAGAACAGAGACCAAATGCACATTTCTGACTCTGTCACACAATCACCAGGCCATGCTGGGTCCCTCAACAGCTCATTTCTCCAGCCCACACCCTGTGCTCTTCACCTCGGATGGTAGTCCTCGCT